TTGCTTTTTTAAACCTTCGTTATCTCGATGGGAGTTGATATCGGAAAGATTTCACGAATTCAAAAAATTTTGTCTACTTGGCAACGATTAGAATGAAGGGATCATCTGTGATTCGTTTGTTGTAACTCTAATGCATAGTTATGTTATATATATATATATATACATATATAAAACTTTGGAACACAACATTTTCTAAGATCTAAAGAATTTCTAAAGAAGATCTAAAACGCAGCAGTTATGTAATAATTCGTATTCCAAGGTGAAGACTTGCTTAACTGTCACTTAACTGTCTTTACGAAGTGATGGCATGAGACGATGGCTTAAGAGGTATGGGCAAGGCAGCGATTATTTCTTTCCTAAAAACTGAACATATATATATGCGACGTATCGTCACGTCTTATTCTTAATAATACTGAATTAAAAATTGCAAAATTTTTGTCAAAATTATCACAATTTCTTTCGCATAAAAAAAAAGAAAAAGATTTTGAAATTAAAACTCTCTGTTTTCGCATGCGAAACTTATGAGAGCCAGCAAATTTAACGATCGGTGCGATCAGAATGATCAGTTTCATATTTTCAGCTAAAACTTAATGTTTTAAGTAACGGAAATCTCAATCTCATGATTTAAGTAATTTTATGCCCAACGCCCAACGTTTGTCTGCCCCGCACTAATTTTGTATTTGTAAGATCGCTTATCTTCTCGATCTCCAACCTACACATAGAGATGGTCCCTGCTCAAGTGAGGTAAAATAGGTAGGGGGTTAGTTGTACTTTCTTTTATTATATTTAAATGCTTGTCGTATCACACTTTGCTGAATGATTCCGATAAATCTAGAAAGCTATCTCAAGCCTAACTTTTTGATAGTTTTAGGTAACCTGCACAGGCGTTTTCTAGAGTACTTTCCAAAATTAAGGCAATGGCTAAGCAAGAAAGTCCCGCCATCGATAATTTCTTAACTTTTCGTATGAGAAAGGATCTAAGAAGCAGTCTCGCAGGATAATCTAAAAAAATGCCAAATCTTAATTGCCTCTAACTTTTGAATCTGAAGACATTGTAAACTAAAGTTAAGTAAAGGGAACTTTTGTTCGAGGTTCGCCTTAAGAACTTTTGCTGTAGGCGTTTTCTCTTGGCAATGGTAGGTCCCAAATGATTTGCTACTGCTAACAGTTTCTCGATAAGGTCGATGGATAGAGTTTAAATTATGAAATTTCTTCAATTAAGTTCATCTGCGACAATCACCTTGTCCTTTGTCTTCTTCTTTTCTTTTTTGAAGCACTTTGGGATACGTACATAACACAGATCTAGTTTCCTTTTTCATAATCACAAGTACAGAAGCGTTCGGGGGGTAAAGTGATAAGCCTTAAGTAAAGATTTAAGATGGTGTAATAAGGCGAGGAACTACTATAGATCATCTTTATAATGCCGAATAGTAGGAAATCCAGTGTTCGACTCCATCCAGAATCGATTAGTCACTAATAAAAACTGGCCACATTGTATTTAGTGAAAGATTCTAAACAGTAGATGTAAAATGTTTTGAAGTTGTAAACCGATAATC